CTGGGATGCAGTGACACAATCAGGCCACCACAGCCTCGACCTGTTAGGTTCAGGCAATCCTTCTACTTCAGCCTTCCAAGTAGCCAGAACCACAGGCACACAGCCACCATGTTCGGCTATTTTTTTTATTTTTATTTACCATAGAAACAAGGTCTTGCTAAGTTGCCCAGGGTGATCTTGAACTTCTGAACTCAGGCAGTCCTCTCACCTCAGCCTCCCAAAGTACTGGGATTTACAGGTGTGAGCCACCACGCCCAGCTTATGAATTTTTTAAAATAAGAATTAATGGTAGTACTATTAGACAGCCCAGTGTGCTATCACAGTTTTTCTGGTGAGTCAACGTGTGCATGGAAGGATAGAAAACACACACCGGATTCAATAAAAGTTGTACTCACATACTCAGGTCATTGACTGGCAAATTTATTTACTTGGCCTAAATTAAGACTTTTACCAACAACAGGGAATAGAATACCTCATGATAAGAAAAAAATAGCCGGGCTCAGTGGCTCAGCCTGTAATCCCGCGCCTTTGGGAGGCTGAGGTGAGTGGATTGCCTGAGCCCGCAGGTTTGAGACCCACCTGGGCAGCGAGCCCTCATCTCTACAATAAAAAAAATAAAAAATCAGCTGGGCGTGGTAGTGCATGCTTGTAATTCCGGCTACTCGGAAAGCTGAGGCGGAAGGATCGCCGGAGCCCAGCAGGTCGAGGCTGCGGTGGCCGGGAGCGGCCACTGCACTCCAGTCTGGGCAACAGAGTGAGACTCCAACTCAAAAAAAAAATAAGAAGAAGAAGAAGAAAAAAATACAGTATTTACAAACTGATCATACCCAATTTTCAATGCTTTTCAAAGTAACTGGGGCTGGGCACAGTGGCTTATATCTGTAATGCCAGCACTTTGGAAGGTCAAAGTGGGGAGGATTGGTTGAACCCAGGTATTCAAGACCAGCCTGGGCAACATAGCAAAAACTCATCTCTAAAAAAAAAAAAAATTTTAAAAAAGAAAGAAAAAGAAAAAAACAGTGAGCGTAGTGGCCCTTGCATGTAGTCCCAGCTACTAAGGAGGCTGAGGCAGGAGGATCTCCTGAGTCCAGGAGGTCAAGGCTGTGGTGAGCTATGATAATGCCACTGCACTCCAGCCTAGGCAACAGAGTGATACCTAACTTAATAATAATAATAATAATAATAATAATAATAATAATAATAATAATTGGAACTGGCCAATAAGATGGTAAAAGAGAATTGGTAAGAACTATTTAGAAGTTAAAGTGTGAGAAGAAATGTTAAATCCACAGCTCAAAAATGTATGAAAAGGGAACAAAGGTATCTGCCTATACAATTTTTTAAACCCTCCAATTCTCTTCTTTGGTACATAAATAATTAACAGAATTGACTTCTGTTGTGGAGGTCAGCCACTGAGATGAAACCTCAGAGCTGCATCTTCTAGTATTCATTTCTCTTGTTTAGTCTCCTTCCTCAGTGAGTCAGAGTCAGCCCTGGGTGATCAATAAAATCTAGTGGAAGTGATGCTGCGTGACTTCTGAGGTTACATCATAAAGGCCTTGCAATTTCTACCTTGGTCTCTTGGAGCTGAACTCACTCTTGGAGCCCTGAGCATGATGTCTGACTTTAGGGTCTGACTACCCTAAAGCCATCTTGCTGGAGAGACCACATGAAGAGGCCAGGAGATTTCATGTAGAATAATTCCTGGCCAGCCATTTGAGTCATCCCAGCTGAGTCTCCAGTTGCCCTGAAAGCCCTGCCTAAAATGCAGATTCATGAGTAAAATAAACGATTGCTGTTTTAAGCCATTAAGTTTCAGGTAGTTTGTTATGCAGCAAGAGATGACTGGAACACTCCACCCCTTCCTTCTTCACTTGATGTGAAGTGTTTCCTTAGGTGAGTGCAGAGTGAGTAAGGATGTGTCAGGTCAACTTAAGCAAAGGAAATTTTCCAGCCATAACTGCTGGGGGAATTGACTTATTCATGCTGTTGTGATTCATGGCTTTAGGACTGTCTTCTGAGAAGTGACTATGTCACTTTTGTGGTCAAGACACAGGAGACCCAGAACCATCTCTGGAACTTATGGCCAGGTATAAACCCACAACCCAACATTTTTAATATAGATGAATATATCCGTTAAACTGAACATGAAGGGCAGCCTTCTACAGAAATCAGAAGAGTATAAATAGCAGGAGGGGTACAGGCAGAAGGAGCGACCAACCTCTGCCTGGACTCTGCAGAGTTAGAGCTGCCAGCACATGTTCCCTTTTCAGGGCCTGCTCCCTACCCACGTTGGTAACATGGAACTCATCCCTGCAGCTGCAGCAGGGGCCCACACCAGTCTATAGTCAATCTATTATTGAGTGACCAGCAATGTACCCAATCATCTCCTTTGAGAACCTGAATTAAGGTATGAAGAGACTGTATGTAGCATGCACTTGGACAGAAAGTCCATGAGGAATCAGGGTGAGATAACTTTTGTCAGCCATGTAAATGCTGTTGAGTGAGTAGAGAGCTGGTTTGCAGAAATAAGTAGTGATGAGAATTCATGGGAGAGAAAAAGGGGTATAGAGGAAAAAAGAAAGAGTGAGAGAGAAAGAAAGAGGATAAGAGTGGTAGTACTTGCTGTTTATTGGCTTTCTTGTTCCTAGTTCTTAAATTTAAATTTAATTTTTCTTTTTAAATTTTATTTGTGGTTAGGGTGATGGTGGAATGGGAATTAATAGAAAGGGCTTTATCTTCACTTTTGTTTATTAAAAGTCTTTGAAAAGAACACTGCTGGAGATAGGCTTTGCTGTAGGTTTGAGTTTCTCATTAACCAATACTTCAAAACAATAAGAATTTTAGAGATAATTTCTCTAAAATTAGTTTCGTTGTTTGTTCATTAAGAGGAACAGCATTACTGTGGGACAGAGCTCCCATAGACATCAGAAGGCCAAGGCTGGTACTTTACTTCTTTAGGGCAGAAGGAGGCACTGGGCAACACAGGCTCTGGGTTTTTCTAGTCCCTGCTCAACTACTCTCATCATGATCACAAATTAGTCTCTTCATTTTTCTAGATCTCTGCTTCTTCCACTGCCATACATGGTAGTCACTGTTTTAACATCTTATGGATATAAAATATCTAATGAGGGTCTTATCCAAAAACATCTTCACATTTCATCTCACTCTGAGGAAATAAGAGCACGCACTGGGTAAAGACCCTATTGCCTAAGAGTTGAAACTAAAATCTGCAGTAATTTCGGATACTTAAGCACATGTACTTTTCTTCCTGATTGTGTAATATAAGACAGGAAGTGAAAAGGGGAACATTTTTAATGCTCAAGTTAAGTCAGAGGCTCATTTAGGATACCCACTAGATGTGAAAAAGAGTGGGAAAGTAAAAGGATAACTAAATTTGAACCTGAACTGATCTACATTTGACGTCCTACTAAGATGTCAAAAATACTGTTTCTCAGAGAAACCAACTCAACTTTTCTATTACATAGGCAATGCATATGCAATGGAGTAAAATTCGGCCCACGTATAACAAATGTTAATATTTGGTATATACATATATTTTATATATATATATATAAAACATCTTCTGACAAACCCTATACCATTTGCTTATAACAGATTTGATGGTTTATATGCTGATGCTTATGTCCTCAACTAGGCTGTAAACTCCCCAAGGAAGATCCCTTTACCATAAATCCTCACTCCCCCGTTGCTTCCCCACATACTTCAGTCACTTTCTTTGGAATAAGGGAAAAGTTATAAGTGCTTCTTTCAGTAGCATGCATGTATTCATTCGACAAATGTTTTATTTAGCACCTATTATGGACTTGGGCCAGGCCTAGGGGATTCAAGGGTACATGCCTTTTAAGACATGCCTTTTGGCCGGGTGCATTGGCTCACGCCTGTAATCCCAGCACTTTGGGCAGCTGAGGTGAGAGGATTGCCTGAGCCCATGGGTTCGAGACCAGCCTGGGCAACTTGGCGAGAACTCATCTGTACAAAAAATTAGTCAGGCATGGTAGCATGCACCTGTAGTTCTGGCTACTTGGAAGACTGAGGGGAAAGGATTACCTGAACCCAGCAGTTCGACACTGGGGTGACCGCAAGCATGCCACTGCACTCCAGCCTAGGTGACAAGACTGAAACTCCAACTCAAAAAAAAAA